TGGCACATGATCTACAGGGCAACTGTCATCAGGAGAACAAGCATATTCACTCAATACGAGGCCCAAAAGCCACTCAAATGAGAGAGTTACTGAATATAGTGAGTGGAGCGGATGAAAGAGGAGGAAGTGGAAAATGAAGATTACGTGGTAAGGAGAGTTAACATTGATCTTTGGCATGATATGAGAGCATCAATACAGGAGTCTGCCCCTGAAATGAGCAGTTCTTGGTAATAAACGGGAACCTTTTCTTACAAATGAAAAAGGAAGATGAATCGACCCTGTCGTCATAATATGGCTAGTTTTAGCTAAAACTAGACTACCTGTGACCCGTTAAGCAACTGACGGTTCAGATTATAAATATTGAAGTTGATTTCAACATTCCATTGAAATGAAAGTTAATTTCATTATGATTCAGTTAAATATTTCACTTCGTTCGTGTCATCATTGGTCTAGTTTACAAGTGCATATTTAAAGTTTTAATGAACGTTTGCAGCATTTAATAGTAATAAAACTCCTGGGATAATATTGAGCTTTAAATCAGATTAACCTACAAATATTTTTAATATGTCAAAAAAATATTTTTCAATATTGAAAATATTGTCTGTTTAAAGAAAGCTGACATATAAATAATTACGCTACAAACAACTGGACAACACAGCAAAGCGGGATCTCTTTGTGTCTGTCTGTAAATTTGAAATATTTTTATTAAAAATATGTCTGTAGAAAGTTAAAATAAAAAAAATACTTACTGTATAAGCAACTCGTATTTTTAAATTGTATACACTTAAATCAGATGAACTTAAATCATGCGCTTACGCACGCACTACGCACGCACACACGCAAGCACCCACGCCCACAATCACAGACGACTTTTAGCATTATATGGATTAAATATATATCGAAGGTATGCATTCTCTATCAAGTTTATTCGACATTTGTCGACTTGAGTTTGACTTCTAAGTTTGGCAAAAATTATACGCATAAATACGTTCAGTTGTTATATCTATACATTGATCTACTATTTTATAAGCTTTCTGAAAAGATTCTTTTATTATGAAGATGTATCTACACATGCTGTTTATGAATATGTTTTTTCTTATTAAACGCATCTTCGATGAATCAGTGTGTACGGATAGAAATCGCTTGATCATGATGGATCGCAGGTTTGAATGCCACAGGCGGAAATATGGAAAATGAAAAAAAAATGAAGAAAAAGATTAAGTGAGCGTCGGTTTTTATGTTTGCATCTTCACTTTCGTCTATTTAGAATATTTCTAAATCATCAACATTCATTCCTGATTATTATTTCTAAAAGTATTACAGTTTCTTTCATAATACGTGAAGATGTAATGTGTAACAGCGACAATAGTATTTTTTTTTGCCTATGATGTCGAAACAGTATATGTGCATACAATAATATCAGTCAGTTACGTGCCATGCGTGACACACGCTCATGTATCTTTCGATACTGACAAGGCAGATTTTCTAGCAGTAGGTTGCCATTTCTTTCAGCGTTAGACCAGTTGCCATCCCAGGCTATAGAACCCAGTCTGTCCTGCTATTTAAACATAGCTGGGGGGATTCTTCTTTGGATTTTATCAAGCTAATGGGTTAACATTTGTAAGAGATTGGTTTACGCAACAGACATTAATAATGCAGAGATGCTTAATTAACGTATCATGGGGGCCTGCGAAACCTTTGGACACTATGTCGGGATAATTAAAAGGGTCCGCCAAACAATGACCGGACGGGTGCATGCGTGTGTAGAAGCAAGCAGGGACATTTTTATGAGTTTTTGTATGGAAGTATAACGATGGCCTTTGGGATATATATTTATATGGATATTAGTGCTCGTTTTGGTGTGGGGAACCGTACTAAATATTTGTAAAGTATCTTATCTATATTAATTTTATATGGTGGAGAATGTTAATACTAGCAGTAAAAAAAAATAACAGACAAACTGAAGATTAGTGATAGAGTAGGTAAACTAAATGAAAAAGAGTGTTATATAAACTTAAAGGACCACAAACCAGATTTCGAGGCTAATCCGACTACAGGGATAATACACCCAACAAGACCTGAGATCGGAAAAATTAGTAAAAAGATACTTGAACGGGTAAATCAACAAATTAAATAAAAAATAGGCCTGAATCTTTAGATTAATACCAAAGACATGACAAACTGGTTTGCTGATATAAAGGATAAAACGAACTGTACACTAATGCAGTTTGATATTGAAAATTATTAACAATCAATATCTAAAGAACTATTCATGAGTGCGTTGGACTTTGCTACGCATTACACGGATATTACTGAATAAGAAAAGAGCATTATTATAAATGCGAAAAAATCGGTACTGATATATAAAGGTGAGCAAGGGATAAAAAATTCTTATGGCCACTTTGACATCACAATGGGATCACTAAACTCAGCTAGGTCTTCTGATCTTATAGGTCTTTTTATATTATACAATCTCACAGCGTACGCTGAAATTAATATAACATTGGTTTATACAGAGACGATGAGCCTATGGTTATAAAGGACTCTACTAACTATAAAATCGATAAAATTAGAAAGATATTATATAAAGAGTTTAAAAGCCTGAATTTAAAAATTACGGTAAGCACTAAATTAAAAAAAAAGTTAACTTCCTTGATATAACATTAGATTTAATGAAAAATGTATACATACTTTATAAAACATCAATACTAATCCTTCATATATACACCCTAAATCATATCATCCTCCATCTATAATTAAGCATATACCTTTACATATCGAAAAAAGAATAAGTACAAATGGAGCAAATGAGAAGATATTCTATGAAAATATTTAAATTTCTATAATAAAGCTCTAAAAGGTAGTTGCTACAAAAGCCCAAAACTAACTTATATAAAAAAGGAAAATGGAAAGCATAGAAAAAACAGAAGTAGAAAAATAATTTGGTATACGCCCCCATACAACCAAATGGTAAAGAACAAATTAGGGTAAAAATTTCTTGCATTAATAGTTAAGCACTTTCCTAGAGAAAGCAAACTAAGTACTGTTTTCAATAAAAATACACTAAAATTAAGTTACAGCTGTACTGAAAACTTAGAAAAAATTATAAAGAAACATAATGCTAATATATTCAGTAAACACTTAAACCAAAACCAGAGAAATTTAGACAATATAAAAATAAAAATAAAAAGAGATGGATATAAACAAAAAATATGTAACTGTAGAAATCCTCATAACTGTCCTCTACAAAATAAATGTCGCACGGAATCATTAATATACCAATGCAATATCTTGTCTATTGAGAATCCCGAAAACGTAAAAATCTATATCGGTTGCACAACACATGAGTTCAAAAAGAGGTTCAATCAACATCAAACTTCATTTAGGATAAATTAATACAGAAATCAGACATCCCTTTCGAAATATTTTTGGCACTTAAAAGAAAGCAATATAACACTTACAGTAAAATGGAAATTAATAAGAAAAGCTAAAATATGTAGGTCATTAAATGACCCATGTCGTTTGTGCATACATAAGAAACTATATATTACAAAGTTTATAAAAATAAAAAATTACTGATTCAAAGAAATGAAATAGCTATTCTTTGCCGTCATTGACAAAAATTTTCCTTAAATATTATTTTAAAATTAAATGAGAGCTGGTAATATACATACTTTAAGTACATACAATAATTTAAGTAATTCTATTACATTTACTTGATTTAAAAGAAATATAGTCTATTAGTAATTAAGAGTAAAAAATATTTGAAAATTGTACTTAAATATAACGTGTTCTAACCACAAAACCCCTCACTCAAAGAATCCTTAAGTATACAAGTACGAAAAGAATGCCTAAAACCTTTTTGTCGTTAATAGTAAAAAAAAACCCTGACGACATGCGTTTAACGGCTGTCAGAATTCGTTGAAAAATACACGTCTACCCTCCCTAAATTAACCTCTTTTTCGAACGTAACTCATAATTGATACAACAATAGTTAATAAAAATGAACACGTTACCACCTCTGTCTAAATGATTGGATTTCTCTGTATTCTTGGAAACAGAAAATTATGAATTTATATGTGCGTTTAAAACTCAGTAAATTTAAAAATAAGTAATTCCAAAATTCGCTTGAAGACAAAACAGAACTAATGATTTTAATTTAATTATGTGATAAATTTGAACTTTTTAACTTCCTTTTTTGAAACATGGTTATTACTGTGTAGCAAAGAAACCATATTTTAAATCAGCTAATTTATAATATTTATGCTCTGTAAATTTACATTGCGCACTGTTTTGTAAAAATAAAAGAACACCGGGTTATATACCTTACTATTCTTTCTTTCTTTTCTTTCTTAAATATATATATATATATATATATATATATTATCTAACTAAAATCAATTTAAGGGTAATAAGTTTTATATATGTATATATATATATATATATATATATATATTGTCTATATTTTTAAGATTACGTTTTTCATTATATATATATATATATATATATATATAGTGTATTTAAACAGTAGGAAGGCTTGATCACTCTCTGGTATACTATATAAAATACATCATATTTTTTGTACGTGATTTCTGCGTTTGTGTGTGTATGTGCGGATATTCATTACTATCACTGGGGGTTATGTTATTCAACTTCCATATTTATTATCTTTTCGCATCGTCGACATATGTATGGGATGTACAATGACAAAGATATTTGAACATGAAGACATGGACATTCATGTTGCTCACTCGCAGTCTATGTTCTCATAGAAACACTCCCTCACAATATCGTTAATGTCATCCCCGCAAGTTATAAGATTACTCCCTTTCGTTGACCTTAACACCTCTTCAGATTAGACGTTCGAACATTTATATAATCACAATGTGAAATACATGCATGTGTGTGTATGCGTGCGTGTGTTAGTGTGTCTGTGCGTATGAATGTGTGTGAATAATACGTGTTTCTGCATGTCCTACATATTGCCCTTAAATAAACAGGTTTTTGTTAGAAGTGAAAAAATTCTACTTCTTCTTCTTCACTTCCTCCTCCTCCCCCTCCTTCTTCTTCTTCTCATCTTCCTCTTCATACTCCTCTCCTTTTCTTCTTCTCACCCCCACCTCCTCTTTCTTCTTCTTCTTCGTCTTCTTCTTCTTCTTCTTCTTCTTCTTCTTCTTCTTCTTCTTCTTCTTCTTCTTCGTCGTCGTCTACTGCTATTTGATATATCTCTTCAGAACGTGAATGATCATAGTCTTCGACAATTTCCTCTCCTTTGTAGCTCTTAACAAAATTTCTTACTTTAGCAAACTCTCCTAATCCCTGTTCTGCTAAAGATTTTCAAAAGCTTTCAATATATAAGAGATGTAAACTTCCATTTGTATACTTAGTTCGATCAATTCATTTTTTACCGTTTTTTTTCTCTCTCCTTTTCACCGTTATTATTTCTTTGATTTCTTACACTTTTTTTACAGTTTTTTTTTATTTCTTTCACTATTTCAACGTTTTTAACATTTTTTCGTTTCAGTTCTTGTTCCAATTCTTTCTCTTTTCCCCCGTTTCACGTATTTGTTCCGAAGTTTTCTGATTTCAACTCTTTATTTTTATTTCTTTTGATTTTTCTCTTTTTCGTCGTTTTTTATTTCTTTCGTTTTTTTCCCTCGTCATCGTGTTTTTTTTAAAATTTTTTTTCGATTCTTTATAATTTTCAGTGTTTTGTAATTTCTTTCGTGTTTTTCACCTTTTCAGCGTTTCACGTAGCCGTTCCGTTTCTTTCTATTTTCACTTTTTTTTTAATATTTTGTTCGTTTCTTTATCATCTTCACCCGACTTTTAAAATTTTTTTCTCTGTTTACTGATATTTTATTATTTTTTCGATTTTTCTGTTTTTTTACCAATTTTTTCGATTCTTTCTCTTTTTCGCCATTTCATAAATTTTTGTTTCTTTTTAACCGTTTCATTCACCTGTTTCGATTTTTTCTTTTTTTTTCGCCATTCCTTCTCTCTCGTTCCTCTCCGTTTTTCTTTCTTTCTTTTTCATCGTTTTTTGTCTGTTCCTTTTCTTTCTCACCCTTTCATTATTTGTTTCCATTCTTTCCTTCTTTTGAACGTATTTTCTTTCTTTCCTTTTTCACCGTTTTTCATTTTTTTCTTTTCTTTCTCAGCCTTTCATTAATTGTTTTCATGCTTTCCTTTTTTTCGACGTTTTTTTTTTCTTTTTTTTTCACCGTTCATGCGAAAAAAAAACAGAATTTGTAAAGAAATGTAAGAAACGCATTATAAAAAAAATATCTGTAATTTCATGTAAAGTATTATCAAGTGAAACGTTCAAAGCAACACAGATTAGACGAGAGTTACAACAATAGAAAAAACTATTAAATATATTCATCGACTTCTAGAAGACACAATAGGCCGTAGATATTCTCCATTGCTAAATACATCATATATTGATTTAAATATGAAGAAGTGTAAAAGCAATCTCCGTATTCTGCGCACGGATGACAATTTTTTTTGTTTTTGTATTGATCCTTTTCTTAAATTATTTTGTAAATGATAGAAACAAACATCTTTTTTCTTTGAAAATTATCCCATTTGAAAAACACTTAATCTTTTTGAAGTGTAATTTTTTTTTTTATTATTAGCCGACTGATTTGAAAATGTCATTTGTCCTCATACCCACTGAAATGGAATAGAACACAAGGTCGCTTTTAAAGTCAACATAACACGAGTAGATTGGATTAATAAAAAAAAAAAAAAGAAAACATTGCTTTGTCTTTTAAACTGCCGCAGAAAACATGCTTTCTGATGGGGATTGCTTCTGGAATATGAACATATACTTATATTCGGCCCAGGTTTGTGGATGGACACTCCTGTATCATTTTTCAAGGAATTTCATAATTTGACTTGCGAGTTCATTTGTTTTCTTATATCTTTTGCTTGGAAAAAAGCGGGATTGAGTCCTGCACCCATTCGAAAGCAATGTATCACAAGGGCGAGAATAAATTGTAGCTTCTACGCCTACATGGGGCAATGAGCCAAAAAAAAAAAAAGAAAGAAAGTTTTATCCCCTGGGCATTTCTCTTCTGGGGACACACCAGTCACTGAGCATTAAACGTCGCCTTTTCAAATGGGGGATATATTGCTTGGAGGGGATGCACACCTGGAACTGAAATTAATGATTAGTCAGGCACTTTATTGTATGGGAAGAGGTATATAAATAAATATTTTGTTGATGTTTAGTTTTGAAACACTTCATTTTTGATCATTTTATGTTGTTTACTAAAATATAATTAACACACACACACACTCACACACACACACACAAACACACACACACACACGCACATATATATAGAACCAGAACACGTCCTCAGGTTGCCTGAAGATCGTGGTAAAGTAGAACACAGGGGCTAAATATATATATATATATATATATATATATATATATATATATATATATATATATATATATATATATATATGCATGTGTGAAGTTATGTATAAAATGACGTATGTGTATTGTAGAGGTAAAACTGATAGAATGAGTAGAAATTATCGGAATCATATATATATATATTTAAAAAAAATATGATTCCTTCGCAACATAAGAGTTCTCATGTTTCAAAAACGAGAGCCGAAACCATCAATATAATTATTAAAATTAAACTGAATTAAAGTAACAAGCCCTGTTTCATCCTCAGCAATAAACAATGTTGAAATTTACGTATCGTTATAAAAAGCGTGTTCTTTCGTTACTATAGAAACGGGTGGGTCGACCATTTTTATACACATATAAGTCACCTTCAGGAAGAGGTCAAGCTGATGTAGGGTGGGGGTGTCTATTTCAAAGCGAATTATGTATTTCTTGTACGCGTATCGTCTATTCATTCACAGAGGAAGATAAATTTTGGCACCATCGTGTGTTTTTAAGTGTCTGGATAATTTTGTTTTATTTTATTTGTTTATTTATTTATTTATTTACAACGGGCTGTTTCATGTATAAATGCGTCGGGCTGAACTACAATTTGTTTTTTTGACGACTTCCTAAAGTGTTTTTCCCTATAATGATTCGGTTAAGCTTTTTAGCCCTTTATTAAACTATGAAATTTGATTTTTTTTATGCTAATTATTTAATGCGAAATTTTGTTGATGTCGGCAAAAAGCCGTTAACTCATGACTATGGTTTAATAAATTTTATTTAATGCGAAATTTTCTTGATGTTGGCAAAAAACCGCTAACCCATGTCTATGGTTTAATAAATTTTCATTATTTAGAAACTTAAGTATGTGTATTTTTTCATGTAGGCATAAAGGGCATGGGTCAAACCCAGGTTTTGCAAGTTCATATATATATATATATATATATATATATATATATATATATATATATATGTGTGTGTGTGTGTGTGTGTGTGTGTGTGTGAGAGAGAGAGTGTGTGTATATATGTATATATCGGATATATATATATATATATATATATATATATATATATATATATATATATATATATATATATATATCGGGAATATATATAGGAAAATAATTTATCGGAAATATATATTGGAAATAATTTCAAAATGCAGACACAAAAATAAATGTCTACTAATACAGTTCCTACGATAATCACAACCATAAGACATCATCCCTATACAGTCCAATGTATTTAATATTAATTTCCTGGTTTGTACTCAGATTATTTAATCTGCAGAATCCGACAATCCCATTGTAATATCAAAAATGTTGCCATCCTCTTCAGATAGGTCATAGTATATAGTGGCAAATTGCAGTTTAGCCGTTAAAAGTTTCCTTGATATTGATGGGTAGCATTCTTCGATGTCAAACTGTATTAGGGTACAATTTGTTTTATCTTTAATATTTAAAAAAAAAACAATTGGTTAATTCTTTAGTAATAATCTATTATGTAATTCCCAGGTACTACTTGATTTGTTTGTTAACTCTATACTGGATTTTTTTTACTACTTTTACCGATCTGAGAGTGGGTTGGATTTATAATTCTGGTAGCAAGCCTAGCCTCAAAATTGTAGCAATCTTTTGTTGTCAACGTACCGACTCTATCACTAATTTTTAATCTATCCGTGATTATCTTATTAGTCATATTTGTACTTTCTACCTTATTGACATTATTATTATTTTTATTATTATTATTATTATTAGCTTTTTTTTTTATAGTTCTTTGTTAATTTTTTAATGAGAGTGTTGTAAACTTTTGCTGATAATTTCTAAAAAAATATAGTTTTATCAGTCTTCACAAATATTATATCTGTTTTATCAATAGCCTTTACAATCCGATCCAGATGATTTTGGAAGTAACAAATAAAACGTGTAAATCATTTTTTTTTCGAAAATTAATCAACATCCCTTGAAAATGGAACAAACAACTTTAAAATTTAAAGTGTAATTTACTGTTTAGGTTTTTAGTTCAGAAATCTGGTAATATTTGTGTCGCGATGAATTCATATTTTTAATTAATAATATTACAATCTCTCCCCACATCTCTCTCTCTCTACCTCTGTATATATATATATATATATATATATATATATATATATATATATATATATGTTTGAATAAAAAACAGACGACTTTAAGGTTCCATGTAATAAATTATTTCACCACAGCCCTTTTAAAGGGCTCTGGATCATCAGACTTTACTTCCAAATGTTGAAATGAAAAATGAAAAAGAAATTTACACATTTTTGACGGGCCGTATTAAGCATATGTAAATTAAAGAAGTGAGGAAGTGAGGGGAGAGAAGACGAAGTGATGAAGTAAAGGGGAAAAGAAAACATGAGTGAGTTAGATATACCATTTCAATTCTTTATCCCTAATATATATATATATATATATATATATATATATATATATATATATATATATATATATCCTAACCCAATACAAAACACACACACACACACACACACATATATATATATATATATATATATGATGGCCTTTTCCATCGAGTTCCAGGTATGAGGATCCGATGACCACGAACTAATTATCTGCATATCTATGACGGGCATGACTTTTGAGACTGGCTCGAGAATTGCACAAAAGGCTACAAACAATACAGGAGAATGTATTGTATCCAAGTGCAACAGGGACACTGTTAAATGTTTTATTTTGCTTTCTCGTTTCATGTAGTCGATTGATGCTTACTTCTCGGTGCAGCTTTATCATTGTTGTACTTCTTTAGCTCGAATTAGCTGGGTTTTTTTCTTTCTGATACTGAGTTGTTGTCCTGGAGAGTTCGTACATTCCAAATGACAAGATGAATTTGATTTTAATTCGTAGAGTTTTTCGCAGTAGCCGGATATGTGTGGAACTATTTAGATGTAGTTTTCAGAAAACCAACACGATAATTTGTTTCAAGTAGTGAAGGCTTTTGTCGGACCATCCACAAGTTTTGGATCTGTCGATAAATAAAGTAACG